CACTTATCTGAAGGATTTTCACAGACTACGGACGTGGACTAGGGCTAGAAGACATGGCCAAAAATGATAAGGTCAAATTGTTTATTTCCAGTTTTCTTGAAACAGTTTTAGAGAGGTGTTGAGGTCATTCTGCAGACTGTAGTTTGTGGTGTGGTTACATTGTTTGATAGTTATCTGAGGTGTAGCTATTATAGTTAGTCGACACAATGATATAATGCTTCTGAGTGTGTTTCTCTCCCATTTTAACATTCAAGAACTCACAGGCCACTTTGGGTAGCGATCCAAACCTTGGAGATGCAGTCACGATCCCTACAAATAAAGCAGAATAGGGTCAACTTAAAAACTCAACACATGTTTACATCTGTTCACTGATATTTGGTTGATTACTCCACATTGTGCACAGTATTACCTCTGGCAACCAGGGCTTGGGTGAGAGCCATGCTGATCATAGAGAAAGGCACCGCTGCGAACGAAACATGTTGATGAATACAGGTGTAAAATAAGCATGTTTTCACCTTGTCAAATTAAAGGGATAGTTCACCCAAAATTGAATGGCTCACAGCAGACATTCAGGCTGAAAACATGGTGTAAATTAAGCTGTTTTGAGTCGAATTTCAATATCAGGGCTTCCGGTCACTTGGATGACACCACAGGAGAAGTATTGTATGTTTTTTACATCTGAAGACTCGGTCAACATTTATTTCAATTGTATTGGATTTGGCTGAAACACTGTTTACACCTGAGACTCCTAAAGTGACTCAAAACTCCCTCCCTCGGCATAGTGGTGATTAAATAATAGGTACATTTTCACTTTAAAACAACAATCTGTCATGTATGTGCATGATCTGAACTTACACCTGTACCAGAAGCTCTCCTTGTTGCACTCTCTGAACACCGTCCTCTCCTCCTCTGTGGGCATGTAGTCCATGCCCACTGGCATCTGCACATCAACACACACCACATGTATCAGTCTTCATGTTGAATTCATTAGTTCATAGACAATGGGCTCAACCTCACAGACTAACTAATGGGATTGGAACAGCAGGAGACAACATCCGTCAGTACCATCCAAAGTGAAGCTAACTCTTGAGCTAACACGTTAGCATCCTGTTGTTGTTTACCTTCGCTCCTCTGCGCTGCTGCTCCTCTGAATAACCCGAGGTGGTGGACGACATGTTGGACACAGTGTGAGCGCTAATGTTTACACCATGTGACAGAACTCTAGTGTGTTACAGCACTCTGCTCACTGACTCCTTCACTATGTCATTGCCCTCAGCTAACACCGACACACACCCCGGAAGTGAAAACAAGACATGTGTAGGTCAGATGAGGGGGTAAAGTGTCGTCGTCATAATTTATACTTGTGAGCGAGCATCTATAAAGAATAAGCAAGTTCTTCATAAATTACGTTTTTAAAACCTAACAGAGCACACAAGTTCTGCCGCTGAGTTTTAAATAGGATCTTTTATTTTGAAAGTTCAAGGTACTGAAAAGTCGACCTACGCCCTCTATCGGTTATACATATAACGACAAGTCATTCCAGCATAATGACACTACATTGCATTATA